CCCTAATTCCTCTAGAAGACGTTTTGCGAGATCGATGGCTTATCAAGGTAGTATATTATACTCGTCCCCACCTTTTGTCAGATATGCCACGAAACTGGCTCATCAAATTGTATGCGTGGTGCCGATCCATTCACAAGGTACTCCATGTGAGTGAATAAGACTGACCGAAGAAAACGACCCTTGGTGAACCTATGGAAATCAGTTATAAAGTAGTTCGCTGCGGACGGTTGGGCGTGTCAGGCGGGATGAGTTTGGCGCGGTGCCAAACCCGTTCTCCACCAGTTGTTAAAGCGAGCAAGTGATATGACTGTATCATATCGTTCGTATTACTCGTTTTCTAACACTTGCCGCATGCTCGCTTAAGAAGGAAGAGAAGCTTTGACAGCGTGACACACTCATACTGCTTGACACGCTCAACAGTCCGCAGCGAACTAGAGTATATGTATTACAGTATCGATCAGTTCTAATAAAACAACTAAGAAAGGCCCCCTGCTGTTATGTAGGCGAGGTATTCGGAACACTTACACCGGAAGGCACATTAAAGGCACGGTCCGCGATCAGGTATCGAAGTTGAAAATATGGCGTCAGGAGGTTAGAGTGGTCCGCGACGAACAACCTTGTACCGGTTTCGCGGCAAAAAATTCTATGGGAGGGGCGCTGTAGCGCAATATAGGTTCAGTGGCTCCTCCTTTTTTCCAGTGACTCCGCCTCCAGACTCCGCCCCTAATGACCGACTTCCAGTGAAAAATGAGATTGCAGGACGAAAAAGCATGATAATCGCCACTTGTACGATCGTAGAAATCTTATCGGTGAATCAGCCGTGCATATGAGGGCGTAGTTTTGGAGATAGAGTTGATTGGGCACGTACAAACTGGGATCGAAATGGGGTTCTATCTAGGGCAGGTGGCATGTTTTTTGTGCTTTTTTTGTTCACAGTCGAGTTACTCAACCCCTTGTCGTCTATATGGAACCCCCTAATCCACCATCTGAGATGGCGAGTAATCGCGGGTTCTTCCTTTAACATGGACTCACTAGGAGGCGACCGCGTGCGGAAAACGAGTAGCACACGTCTATAGCACGACTGTACGTTATGCATCTCTTCTTACTCACTACCTAGATGGTTTTGCTAGCGAATAGGGGTCAGTGGCTGGTCGCCCTATATCATGCGGATCCCTCTCACTAGCTTGAGCTACGACATGGCTTCTACCCACAGCTCGCATCGACCCTGTAATCAGTGGAGCTCATCGAACCATCCAGTTGATTTCGCTGAATTCTTCGTCAATCTCCGAAAAAAAAACTATTGATCCGGCCCAAAGGCTTTATCACTCACATCTATGGCTGCTCACTTTTTCTGCACTGATACACCAGGTATGGAAGAAGGTCTCGCTTTCTGATTTCAAATCATATTTATCTATAACATTCCGTAATAGAGCGTTATTGTAGGGCCTGATCGGTCACGGAGGATACGGCGAGATTTACTACGCCGTGGATATAAGAAGTGCAGAAGAGGTGGCTATAAAAGTGGAGCCGAAAAAGAGGAAAGGTCGTACCGTCAAACGAATGATTTTAGAGCAGAAGGTATCGTTCCATAAACGGAAGTGAAAGATCAACAAACATGCTGAAATGAATATTTAAGGTTCTTCTCCGATTACAAGGCAGACCCCACATACCCAAAATGATTGCCTCTGGTCATGATCATAAAATCAATTTCATCGGTAAGTTTATGGATGGACGATATCTGTGAGGTACTATTTCTTCTGATTTGACGGTCTCTGAGACAAATTTAGTCACATTAGAAGGGCCCACCCCGCCCCCCTTCGCCTGGAAGTGCTGTCGATTCATCAATTCTCCATTTGAGACTGGCAACGCCTCTTCCCATACAGAAAAATAATGCACTCAAATGCATTTGCTCCTATACGAATGCGGCAAAAGGGCACATCACCAGTACGCGTGAATGTGAGGATTAGGGCCCATCGCGTCCGCCTCGTACCCAAAATTTTGCCCTGAATGGAGAAGAAATTCGCATAAAACGCCCGAAACAGGAGAAACCAACAATAGAAAAGATCTCACAGCGCTGAACACGGCCCGATCTCTCTCCAGCGATCAGCTGCGGCAAGTCTGATCGATTTGCGTCTTTCAACGATATCTTACACTGTGGCGGGTCGCGTCCAAATGTGCAGCGCACACAGCGTTTCGCCGTGTCAGGCGCATCTTTTAGTAAAGCGTGACTGGAAGGTTCATTTAGTCTACGTAGAATCTGCTTTTACCTCCGAGCCATGCGTCATGTAGCAGGGTTATGATTCACATGGCGTAAGCTTGAAATAGGTGATTTTTCGGCCTGACTTTATGTCTAACGCTATGTAGGGAGGCTGCCAGGGCCGCCGTGAATGCTTCCAGGTCAATGTCATGTGGCGGTAGGACCACGCGATGTCGCGGGCGACAAACTGCAGTCACCATATTGGTGCGCGCTCGCGATGGTTCACCGTGTTATCGCATATCGCACTATCTAGTGACATTTCGCTGTTATTTTTTTCAACAGGACAGTCCGTCGTACCTCAGCAATGCGATAGTAAGTAAGTCTCTGAGAATATGCTGCTTCAGAAAGCACTGTGAGTGTCAAATAATTGAGGCTAAATTAATGCGCGAGCGGAATTGTGCAGGTTCCTCCTCACTATAGTTGGCTATGTAAATCACTGGCTTAGCTCAACGGGAAACCAAAAGCAAAACCGAACGGCCTATGACAACAGATCCCACCAGAGTGGATCAGGCCACGCTTGAAGGCCGGAGTGATCTAACATAAATCTAGTTAAACTCATAATGCAATGGCATGGTGGTTTATCATGAACGGCGCTCATATCTTCAAACATGACGAGTAGTTTGGGCAGATTACGCACGCGACGTCGCTGATCCTAATATGTCTGTCTCCCGATGAGTTGAACAGATACAGGATCGGGAGCCCGGCACGTTGATCTGATGGCCTTTTACTTTTTCTATCCTGAGTAAACATTTGATAAAGTGGGACGCGCCAGACCTATACTGGCGTCTTTGGTGTGTAGGCGTGACTGCCTGTGTGTCAGGTTATTGCAATTCTCAGTTGGTTAATTTAGTATGAGAAGTTTGACAAATCCAGCTCCTGTCAAAAGACTTGGCAGAAGCTAGCCTGTTGGCGGATTATGGCAGCAAGTTGCAATTTACCTTTTCATTACATCACAAGAGTTCTGAGTGGATAGGTCCTTGTCAGCGAAAGCCCGAATACAGAATCCATGACGGGCAGAGCTCAGTCGGTGCTCAAGACTACACTTCGACTTCTAGGGATTAAGCCGTATAAACGAGAATGCACAAAAGCACACAGCAGACGTCATACATGAGTTGTGTTAATGATTCTCTGGTTATATTGTAGCAACTGTGGGACGCCTTGCCACCATTTTCGCCTTCACTTCGGCTCCTTTGTTCAGAACCTACCTACATCCATGGACCGATTTTCATCAAAATACCGGGGTTGGACATGAATAAGTTTCACACTAAAGGCGTTACGCTGCCTCGCGAGTCCAAGCTTCAACTGTAGACTTACTCGTGACACTCACAAAAAGATGCTCGCCAAGTTGATACTGGATGATGACCGAAGCGATTAGAGCTGTGGACAATTAAAGGCATTTTTGAAATCACTTTCCGAAGCCTTCAGGCAATAGCTGCGCCTAGAGGATGTTTCATTGGTGTTATATTCATCAGATGTGAAACACCAGCATAAACATGTGTTTGGGTAATCGAACTCGCTCTGAGGCTACTTTCTGGATCTTCTTGCAGCGCTGTTTCTCGACGCTGTTGTCAAAACAGACTTTCAATCGCAAAATGTAAAGCAAAAAAGCTAGTTGGATATCCAGACTCGGTCATATACTCACGTACGTAGTTGACTTCTTGAGGTACTTGTGCGACGATACAAAAATCTAGATGGTACCACACGTCCTCTGAGAGCGAGAGCAGGATTCCGGTAGGTAATCCTCACGTCAGTCGCGAAGGCAGAGCCAACGACACTACGTAATTCTAATTCCGATGCTTCTTTCGTGAAGGAGAGGTGGTGTGGACTGATAACGAAGTAGAGAAGAGCGGAGGCGATGTGCGGCAAGTGACTCGATTCTGAAAGCGCCGATAGACCCGAGAAGTGAGTCAGAGGGCAAGAAGCCGGGACGGCATAGAGTCGGTCTCCTGCGATTGCATGTTTTCTTTCCTCCGGGAACGGCAAGTCGGTATCAGATTCGTCCGTGAGTATACAAACAGTGAGTAGTAGTGCAGTTGGGTCGGCCCATGACAATCCACGACATAGACCATATCGCAACTGATGAACCATCACACCTGAATAACCATCACAATCTGAATAGAGAGTAGAATGCGAGGCGTAGGATCAGCATGCAAAGCAGTGAACGCCGAATGGGATCAGGTCCATCAAGCACTTTAGACCTATAGTACGCGAAGAGTGAGGAACAACACCTGAGTGTGACGACAGCACCAAGTTCGCACACAGCGTTCCGTCTCTCTGGCTGAAGGCCGCTACTAATACGGGGGGGGGGGGTTGCTCGAGCGAATGACAATCTCACCATCACTGTAATCGTCACTCATTTCCGATCAAAGTGCTTTATCGTCAATAGTACGTCGGGCTAACTTGTACAGGGAAGGGACCACTTAGTTGGGAATCGCAAAATGTGCGCTGAGCACAGAAAAAGAATGTGAGCAGCAAGAAAAGCGACCACTGCGGTAAAGCAAGCCAAGTAACAAAGTGTAAAGGCATCATATTGGCCCATTTTTCTACATCCGCAGTTGATCTGAAGAAACGGTGAGCGGCACACAGATAGCAGCCACCGAGTAATCGCGGATTGATCGGGGTCTTTAGGGATGCTTGAATGGAGGTAAAACCTATGCTTCGAGCCCTGCATCTTCGCAAACGCTCCCCTCCTACCCACTTTTTAGATCCATGACACTATCTTGATAACCGATGCTACTATGGAACTGTGGTTTCAACCATTGTAGAATAAGAGAGTACGTAAGAGAGCGAAGAGGGTCGTGTATGTTTGCAACAGAAGAACCTTCTCCTCTAAGGGTTTCTAGGACATTTTAATTCCTTAAAAACAGACAATATTGAATGATTTCAGAGGAACGGTACGTTATGTCTCGATTCGAGTACATGAACGCATCGATCAAGGTCCTGCAGATGATCTCGTGTCTCTCGTATACTCTGGTTCGTACATTTACCCCAATCAGCAAGGGCACGGCATTGCCCACGATAATCTGATGGGTGGAGTTGTAAGGGATCGTATCCATTGAGCTTTCGCGCTGCCCTGCTCTCGAACTTTATGGAGCGAGAGGGGCACCAACGAAAAAATCACAAGGGCTGCGAGTCTCCGCTCACTCGATTATCTCGGACTTACTATTATACACTTCAAACGGGTGTGTCACGACGACGAAGTAACGTCCCAAGGCCCTGCAGACAGGCTACTGGTTAGCAGGGGTGCAGAACCTTTCTCTCTTTCAGGTCTTGAACTGCTTGTTGGCGACTTACCGTGGAAGTATATCGTGAAAGGCGATGACGTCAAACAAGCTAAACTCGAATTGGTACTTCTGTTTCAACTGAATGCCTTTGACTTTCCACGAAGGGTTATCCAGTTTGTGATATAGCACTATTTTCTTCAGCAAGGTGCACCTCAAACTTCATTCCTTTCATTGACAAGCGAACCGTTTCAAGAATTCGCTCGAGCGGTGTTCAGCCTGAATACTGAGGAAGAACCAAACTATGCTGCACTGCAAGCTTTGCTTACGGTATACACTCTATTTTTTGTGTAAGTGCAGATTTCTTCAGAATTTTTCAACGTCGAATTTCAGGAAATGGTTGGTGATCGAAAGATGAGCGATCCTTATGACTGGGAGATGAATTATCGCGAGGCCATCGAAGGTGTGCGGTAAGAGCGAGTGACTCTTCTGAGACATATTTTCCTCATATCACATCAGCTAGTGATACAGCGGGCAGTACCGGTGAGGGAATATCCAGGGGACAGTTTAATCGCTTGGGAATAGAGGATCACAGTCAGTGCTCTACGGAAGACGTTAGCAGCACATCCCCACCTTCAGAGACTCGTACATACCCATCTAGACGCATTTTCGATTTCCAACAAAGGCAAGTGCAAGCGTACCTAAAATCAATTGGCCAACACTGGCTACTTCAGTCATTCCATTACGCGCATTCTAGACATTGCTAGCTTTCAAGACTTCTCTGATAGTGAGTGAATAACTTGCAGGAAGGTGATGAAATGACCCAGTTCCGAGATAGCATCTTGCAA